TCGTAGAGGAGATGAACAGGAGGTGAAGAAATTGCTCCAACAGGAAGTGGATGTCAACTGTCGTGTCGGCTGGGTGAGTAGGGACGAACCGCTTTCTTTTTACCAGAAATCTGTTTCATCACAGGCCAAGTCGGAGAGGGGCGGAGAGATATGGTCCCCCAGGTCGGTTGTGGTATATGTTTGCTTTCCTCCGGTTCGAAGTAATCCGGTTCGAAGTAATCCGGTTCGAAGTAGCCTGAGTGTCAGCCAACGAAAGCTAACAAGGCTGACACTCATGCAGGCTAGGTTCCAAGAGGTTTCAAAACACCAGTGACCCTTTTCACTTGTGTCAGTTGAAAAAATACAGCATATTGTGGTTCCCCATGACACACTGTACATGTAAGGATATGAGACACTGAGCAGGATAACTTTGCATGGTAAAAGAAAGAAAGGCCATGCTAAAAAAAGTTGAGGAACTTGTACAGGAAATTCATTAAGCTTAAATTTCAAGACTATTGGAATCTTCCATGACTTTAAAAGTCATGTTGGTGTTTCTGAACTCCTTCAGTGGAGCACAGGTCAACATCAGAGGTCGGGTAAGGGTCGATGCTACGGGCGATGGACATATTAATTAATTGGTGCTCAACTGTTTATCATGAACATGACGATAGGTTTTTCCTACTTAGGTAATGGTATCTCTATTCCTGTTGATGTAGGATGACGACATGCCACTTCACAAGGCAGCTGAAGGTGGACATGTTGGTGTTGCTGAACTCCTTCTGAAGGCTGGAGCACAGGTGGACCTTAGGGATGAGGTAAGGTCTGATACTTACTACAGGTGATGGGCATGTTTGAATGTTGAACACGTCTCGCATATTCATAATTTATTAGGATAATGATGATAGGCTTTTCTTATCATGTAATGTCATCTCTATTCCTGCTGCTACAGTCTGGAGCCACACCACTTTTTAAGGCAACTGAAGGTGGACATGTTGGTGTTGCTGAACTCCTCCTGAAGTATGGATCACAGGTCGACATTAGGGATCGGGTAAGGGTTTATCCTTGTGATGGATACGTTTGTGTGTTGAACATCCCGCGTATTTAGTGTTTGTTAAAATGAAGGGGACAGGCTTTTCTTAGCATGTAATCTCTGTTGCTGCTGTTACAGTCTGGAAACACGCCACTTTACAACGCAGCTTCCGGAAGAATGCCGAAAACAATAAATCTGAATCAACATTGTACAGATATATATTGATATGTCTAAAATAGACGTCACACTGTCCCAATATGACAGCAGTTGTGCCGATGCCTATTTCTAGATAAATGGCACATGGGTATGAGGAAGAGACATTTGATACTGACATGTCATGTAGAGGGCATAGGTTCTATATGGCTGACAGTGGCAGCGATGTATATTTTCATTCTCTTTTAATCACTCACTCACTCACTCAAGGCCGCATGCTTCCATGGGGACCGTAGCGCCTCGGCATATGGATCTCCAGGTGGTTCTGTCCTGGGCTGCCTCCCACGCAGTGTCGAGGTTGAGGGAGACAGTCAGAAGATCATCCTTCAGTTGATCGCACCAGGTTCGTCGTGGGCGGCCTCTAGGACGGGACCATGTAGTGGAGGCCGACTCTCTCAGTAGAGCAGCAGGCTCCAGGGGGGGCACCGCCCTAGCAATATGGCCAAAGAGCCGGAGCCTGGCCAGCCGTATCTTACTGGTCAGGGGAGGCTGTTTGGTGATGTCACGCAGGGTGGCGTTGGATACTCGATCAAACCACCTGATGCCGAGCAGTCTTCTAAGGCATCTGGTGTCGAAGGCGTTAACACGGAGTTCATGGGTGGCTGTTAACGTCCACGTCTCAGCGTTGTACATAAGGATGGATAGTACCAAGCTGTTGTAGAGCCTAAGTTTGGTCTGTAGTGAGAGCTTCCGGTTGCTCCAGACGTTGTCCAGGCTAGCCATCGCAGCGGAGGCACGGCCGATGCGGAGATGGATATCGGCGTCGCTCCTGCAGTCCGAGGTGATTGTGCCGCCGAGGTACGAGAACCGCTCTACAGATTCAACCTGGCGGGCGTTGATCACAGGACCCGGGCGGGCGGCCTCGAAGTCACTAAGGCACTGTACCTTGGTCTTTTCCCAACTGACCATCAACCCAAGTGGTTGGGTTTCCGTGTCCATGGCCTGTAGGGCAAGTTGGAGGACTTCGAGTACCTCGGCCAGGATTGCCACATCATCTGCAAAATCCAGGTCTGTGACGGTGAGATCACCAAAGCTGACACCGCAGTTGCACTGCTCCACAGTTCTCCCCATGACGTGGTCTATCGCAACGTTAAAGATGGTTGGGGCTAACACACAGCCCTGTCGGACGCCGCTTTTGATGACGAAGCTGTCAGAGAGTAGACCGTTTACTTTCACACGGGAGGACGTGTTGGAGTACAGTAGAGAGAGCAGGTGCACCAGCTTGGCAGGGACACCTAGGGCCTTGAGTAGAAGCCAGAGAGCATTCCTGTCCACCGAGTCGAAAGCCTGTTTCAGGTCGACATAGGCTGCGTACAGCGGTTTTTCTCGGCAAGTAGGCGGAGAGTGAGAATCCTGTCCACCGTGGAGCGGCCAGGGGTGAAACCGCTTTGCTCCTGTCTTTGCTTGCGGAGGAGAAGAGGTCGCAGCCTTGCGAGCAGGATGTTAGCAAACACCTTCCCGGGCACGCTGAGCAGGGTGATCCCTCTATAGTTGCTGCATACATCTTTCGGGCCCTTCTTCCAAAATGGAAGGATGACTCCCAGGAGCTAGTCCGCTGGAACAGTGTCGCTCCTCCAGATGATAGTAAAGAGCTGTTGGAGCTGTCCTGCAAGCGAGTAGCCACCATGTAACAGCAACTCTGGGGTGATGCCATCATCCCCTGCAGCCCTGCCGGGTTTAAGCTTCCCTATTGCCTTGACCACTTCCTCCAAGGTGGGGGGACCCGTGGGAACAGAGTCGTCCTCAATGGCCGTGGCAGCAAGTGCATCCAGAAGAGGAGAAGGGGGAGGCGCTGGGCGGTTGAGCAACGTCTGGAAGTGCTCCCTCCAGCGCTCCAGCTGTTGCTCTGGGGTGTCAGGGATGGTACCATCCATGGCTTTCACGGCTGCAGTAGACGAAGATGTTTTCCCCGATAGAGTCCTTAGAGTTCTGTAAACAGAGCCTTGGTCACCTCTACGGGCAGCCGCCTCTGCCTCCTCTGCTAGGTTGTCAAGCCAGTTCTGCTTGTCCTTGCGGAGTAGCTTGTTGCGTACCGGGTTGAGCCGTCTGCACTCCAAGAGGTTTCCTTCCAGTCTGGCTTTCCTCATTGCCTCCACGATGCTTAGAGTTTCCTCTGAAAGGAAGTCCTTCTTTTTCCTCTTGCGTTTGTGCCCCAGCACCCTAGTTGCGGCAGCAGCGATGTTTTGCTTTATGTCTGACCAGAGTTTCTCCGGGCTGGCTGCATCTGGGTCGGATGGTAGGGCAGCAAAGCGGTTATGGAGTTCCAGCTGAAAGTGGGTTACTACTTCAGGGGACCGTAGCTTTAACACGTCAAACTTGCGTTGCGCTTTGCTGGAGGAGTTCCTTTGGAGACGGAGGCAGACTGTCATGGCGAGCAGCCTGTGATCGGAATTCTTTTAATAGAACTTAATAGAACTTAAAATTCTTTTTCCTCTCGACAACCATTTCTTTATTCCATGCCGCCTACGTTACCTAAATAATGTGTTGAAATCACCTTCAATGTGCCAGTCTAAGGCCATGTTGATTTGATTATATGGATGACATCCTCCGGGAGCCCCAAAACTGATGCGCGCGTGCGAATAAAAAAAAAAGTTTTGCAAAAAAAAAGTTCTTTTCATTATGAAATCTACGTGGTCATGAGGGTTGAGCAAATGGCACAGAATATGGTTTGGCGAATAATCTAGTCTTCAAGTTCATTTCTTTACAATTTCGTCTTTTTTCTTTTGATTTCGGCATTCTACGACATTGGTATAGTTTTTATTAATTTTTTTGTAACTTATGGTATATTTTTGCTCATTTTGCAACTGTTTTGTACGATTTACTGTATGGTTGAAAACTTTTTTTTTGGAAACGGCCGAAAATTCATGCGCGCGCGGATGTCATCCATATAATCAAATCAACATGGCCTAATGGCTACAGTTTTCTGTGTAGCTCGGCAGGTCTCCTGAGGACATAGCGGCAAGTATAGATGTTCCATACGGGCGTGATAACGACCACATCCTGGTGGGAAGGAGGAAGATTCTGAAGCTTTTTGCACCAGACAAGATCGCCTGGTATGTAAAACCTGATTTGAGTTGCGCACTATCAACTTGGTGTTAACACTAATAAAGCTCCGGTCATTTTAAGGCAACCACATGCCAAGACAAAGAACTACAACGTTCATTTTCGGCGGAATAGAAATCTTGAACAAGACACGATAACAGGATACTGTTATCATAAATTCATAACAATGTTCGTATTCAAAAATGCATCTCGGTGGGATAATTATGATTGAAATTTTCGGCCGGTGGTTATGTTCATGATTATATATTTATACATCTCTTATTAATTATTGCTTCAATTTTTCAACAGCGAACCTAAAACATCACTATAAACTCCTTTCCTATTCCACATGCCGTGCGAAATTAAAATTTTGGGCAAATAATCTAAGTCACAGTTACTGTATGTACACGTCATAACTTTTAATTAACTTTGGTCTTAACATATATAGTAATCAACACACATGTATAATAAATTTGAATATTCTATACTAAGTTTCTAATCTTGCATCCTATTTTTGAATCATTGTTTTCTGCAAAAGTAACACATGGGACGAACTCATGAGATTTGCATACAACTTAAGAGTTTATTATTTTATTATATAATTGACGTCTTGCTTATGTTGCAGAGGAAGGTATTACCTGTTATTCCGGCTGTATGAGAATAACACATTCAGGTAATTCTGCACACAAATTCCTTTTCATGCAAAGCATGTATGATGTGTCTTTCTAGGCGAAAAATGGGTCCAGAAGGAGGTGAACTGAGAACCGCGCCTTGTACCGTCTCTGTACCACCTGAGGCCGTTACCATGGAAACAGAAATCACCTGTCAGGTCATCAACCCCAATGACGTCACCCTTCCCCTGAAGGACGGAGAGATGTTAGTGAGTGACATCATAGAGCTGGGTCCGCACGGGACAACCTTCCACCAACCTGTCACTGTGCAGATGCAGTACAACAACAAGTCGTCAAGTGGCGCTACGGAAGTTGTCGTGTGGGTCACTGATGACAGGACACAATGGATGAAACTTGAAACCACCAAAGAAGTACGTAGCTGAACATAATAAGTGCAATATTTCATACGAAGTCCTGTCTAAATCGTGGGGAAGAACCTACAACTCGGCACTGGCACCTGACTGACCGTCCACTATCTATAACAGCTATTGTATTCTGTGTTTCCTTTCATTTTAGAATGGCAACAGAGTCGCAGTATCAGTGGACCACTCTTTCATCTTTGCCGTCGTCAGCCAGCTCGAACAGGACAGCTTTACTGCGTCTACTAAAGAGAGCACCATAACGTCATCAACGCAGCCTGCGTTACCCACTACAAGGTATTTATTAAAACTGCTGAAGTCACATTTCAAAGTGCTGAAGGCAAATATAGCTGAAGTCAAATTTCCAAGAATGTTCTCGGTGTAGACGCCGGCCGGCGTCATGAAGCCGAGCGTGCGCCGACTGTCAGGGTCACAATTAAATGTTCCTTTACGGCTTCCTGTCGGGGTCGGTTCTCTGCAGTCGGCGCTGGGGCGGCTTCTAGTTAAAATTCACAAACTTTTGGTCCCTTTGACAGCCGGCCGCAGACCGGTGTATCATATGGTATGAACAGCACGGCTCACTGATGATGGAGCTATGTCGAGAACAACCTTGCGACTTTAATTCCTTTCTGCGAATGCCCCCAATAACCACCTTCTTCTGAACACCTGATGCACTGATCAGCACACGTGACTTCATAATCTTAGATAGGTGCCCAACCGGGTGACTGGCGATTAGGTTACAGGTTTGTCCCGGCGTATTTTTCTCGCTGGGGCCCGGGCTGATTTTAAGTTCGAGTTAAAATCAACTCGGCGACCGCGCGGGGCCAAACATAGGTCGGCAGCCGCGTCGGGAACCCCGCCAGTCTCCGTCCAGGTCCCGTGCGATAGTGCCAAAAACAGCCCGCCGAGGCTCCGCGCGGCCCCAAATTTTGAATTATGACCTAAATTTTGCACACTCATACATACTTGTGAAGTATATATGATGGATTCCCATACTCTCACAGCCCTTACAGTCGAAAAATGGGTCCAGAAGGAGGTGAACTGAGAACCACGCCTTGTACCGTCTCTGTGCCGCCTGGGGCCGTTACCATGGAAACAGAAATCACCTGTCAGGTCATCAACCCCAATGACGTCACCCTTCCCCTGAAGGACGGAGAGATGTTAGTGAGTGACATCATAGAGCTGGGTCCGCACGGGACAACCTTCCATCAACCTGTCACTGTGCAGATGCAGTACAACAACAAGTCGTCAAGTGGCGCTACGGAAGTTGTGTGGGTCACTGAGGACAGGTCGCAATGGACGGAACTTGAAACCAGTAAAAATGTAGGTGGACAAACAAGAAATTCCCCAAGAGAACAAAATTTCATACTCTTTTCGATAGGAAATGGTGTCTTCCAGAATACATATAGAATACTACAAGGTGTATTCCGTATCGCCCGAGGTACCAGCCCGACCGCGGGTCGGATCGCCCTCCGGTCGAGGGCTGGGACCGAGGGCGATGCGGAATACACCGTGTTGTATTTCATTTATGTCATACCCACCCGAGAAAACGCGCCTTTCAATGCAACATGAGTCAAAACTTGGTGTCCCTAAACCTAAAAATGTAACAACATCAATTCCAACGTCCGAATCCCGTATTGGCATTTTCGAAAGTGCACACGGTTAGGGCGAAACGCGTTCGAATCGTTCTATGGAAGCCATTGAAGCCCGGGCCGTACGCGTAAAGTACGGCCCGGTCCGGAACCCGTCAGCGAACGTTATCCGGGTCTGGGTATGATATAGATCAGATAGTGAAATGGCCCAACTTTTTCATTTTAGGGCGAAGACAGAGTCGCAGTATCAGTGGACCATTTCTCCATCTTTGCCGTCATCAGTCGACCCAAACAGGACCAGTTTAGAGTGCCAATAGGAGGGTTTACGCTTACGTCATCAACGCAGCCTGCGGTACAAATCAGCTTCCCGGAACAGGCTGTGAACACAGAAACCCGCGTCACAGTACAGGTCAGGAATTCAGTTTAAACAAATGTGAAAGTTGTCGACAAGGTCTCGTATTCTATGCCGAATACTTGCATTTAGATTGGTAAAAATGATACGTTTGATCAACATTAGGTAGTATGAGTCAATAGACAAAAAAAGGGAAGTGTCATTCAATTGGTCAATACTATTCTAGCAATTTCTGCAAATTCAACAATATAATGAATAAGAATTCGGAGACCTTTTTGTAAATGTTTTTTATTTGTCTCATTGACTATGTAAATAAGGTCGTAATTACCATAGTCTAGTATAATTTATGGTTTTCTAAATTCAAATTACAATATTTTGCGTGTAAAATTCTTCTCTTCCACTTCATTTCAACATGTCCTTATTAATTATGCAAATGACCCCTACATTGACATGATATATGCATAGTAAGGTTAACCTTTTAAGAAACTTACACATGTCACAACGTATAAAATCCCCATCATTTACCAATGAGGAATAAAAGAATGTTCACATTAATTATGCAAATTAGACCATCATTTGCATAATTGGTATCTGTTGATGTTCCACCTGCCATAAATAGATTAAATAGATTACATGTATAAAAGCACTATTATATAAAACACTGTGATTAAAGAATTTCCTCCTTAATTATGCAAATTAAACAAATGTGCGGAAACACAAACACACACACAGACACACACACAGACACGCCAAAAACAATACCTCCATTTTTACCTCCATGAAAAATGGAGGTATTGTTTTTGGCGTGTCTGTGTGTCTGTCTGTGTGTGTGTCTGTTTTTGTGTTTCCGCACATTTGTAGTCAGCATAACTTCATAACACCTTTATGGATTGTGATGATATTTGGTATGTTGGTAAGTCTTAGGAAGACAAAGGTCAAGGTCAAATATGGGCCTCCTGGTGGATGACCTTGGTACTGCAGCAGAACTTCCGGTTTTTGTATCTTTTGTCCTGAACATGCTATGGTCTTGACTTTTTGGTGACAGATAGCTTTTCCTGTCAGGAATTGGTGTGGGTTTGGTCCCGCTAGCAGCTTGTTCTGGAACTGCAGGGTACTTTCTGGCGAAACCTTTAAAAGCCAATAAATCCAGATGGGAACAACGTATTTTCATCATTTTTGGTTTGTGGGTAGCTGAGGGAGAGTTGTACATAATTAAATGCAAACAAGAGTTCCACGATCTCTTACCTTCGCCAAATGATGTTAACCCTTGCGGTTGATGAATTTCGGGGTGCAGCAGTTACAACTATGGAATTATAAGAATTTGTCATTAATTATGCAAATTAGGTCCTCATTTACATAATCTATATACTCAGATATTTTTCTCGTTCTCAAGTACATGTCACAAGTGTTTCATAGTTCTATTATCGAACAGAGCAGATTTATATAATTTCCTCATTAATTATGCAAATTAGCTCCTGATTTGCATAATTGCCATCTGATTATGTCAAGCATCACTTCAACTACCTACATACCAAAAATCACGACAATACGTCAACCGGTTCTTGAGTTATCGTCCTTCAATTTTTTTTCAACAAATGCTCCTGCAGTTCCAGAACAAGGCGCTAGGGAACCCAAACTCATGTCACTTCTTCCCTACCCCAAAAGCCATCTACCAACCAAAATTCGTGACCCTAGCATGTCCAGAACATGAGATATCAAAACCGGAAGTTCAGCTGCAGTACCTAGGAAAGCCGCCAGGGGGAGCAAAATCTAATCATTTCTAGGTCTCATGAAGACCTACCCACCTACGAAGTTTCATTCCAATCCATCCACTGCTTCTCGAGTTATCTTGCTAAACCACACACACACAAACACACACACACACACACAGACAAACGCTACTGAAAACATAACCTTCTTGGCGAAGGTAATTATGTAAATGAGGACTTAATTTGCATAACTGAGGAGGAAATTCTATAATTACATTGTTTTATATAATAGTACTTTATACATGTAATATATTTAATCTGTGGCAGGCGGAACATCAACAAGATACCAATTATGCAAATGATGACCTAATTTGCATAATTAATGTGAAAATTCTATGACACCTTATTGGTGAATGATGAGAATTCTATACCTTGCAACATGTGTAAGTTAAGTTACAAGGTTAATACCACTATGCATATATTATGTTAATGTAGAAGTCATTTGCATAATTAATTAGGACATGTTGAAATGAAGTATGACAAAGGAGAGGAATTTTACACGAAAGATATTGTAATTTGAATTTATAAAACCATAAATTAAACTACATAATGGTAATTACGACCTTATTTCCATAGTCAGTGAGACAAATAAAAAACATTAACAAAAATGTATTTTTCATGGAGGTATGGAATCTCCGAGTTCTTGTTCATGGAGGTAATAATTACAGTGATGTAATGTTAAAATGAAGTGTGAGGGTAGATACATGTGTAATCTGTGCTATTGTGATATCACATAGCCGTACTCTTTAAACTACAGGTGCAAGAAATTAGAAAAGAAGCAGTGGAGGAACTTAAGGCACAAGACGAGTCTTTCCGCAGTGTTGTGAGCACCAGCCCGATAGTTAGGGTGGAAATTGTGTCCGATGATGTGACTGCATTCTCGTTCGAGGAGCCTCAATCATCGGTATGCTGTTGCCTGCCTATCCGTCGACACCTCATGCCCCAGGCTGACTCTGAAGTCCAGTTCCACAAACCGGTCACAGTGCGAGTCCCACATCCTCAACACTACATGAACATCCAACACGAGGGGCCCACCAAACTGAGGGTGATGTCATGTGAGGAGGGGACAGAAGACTGGATGGAAGTGACAGGCGATAGTATCAAAGAGGTTACAGAGGAGGTTGTGGAGTTTGAAGTCACCCATTTTTCCAGGTATTGTGAGCTCATTGTCGCTAGAAACTGTGTCAGGGACAAAAGATAGAACGTCAAATTACAAGATTACATCAAACAAATCCCATGCTTTAGACAATTTTGTATATCAGTGACTTAGTACCAATACGACGTTGCAGTGATGTTTTTCCTGTGTTTTTAAACTGCAAATTTGCCAGTATGTTCATATTTCACCGGGGTCGAGTTAAAGAGTATTTTCTGCATATCTCATTTCCAGTTTGATTGTAATCCTTGTCAAAGACGACCTCGGCAACACAGAACCGCTAGGGCCAATCCTGTTACAACAAGTCTGCCAGTGGCTTCAACAGCTTCCCGTACAGTTCATCCTACTGCAGCGAGAGGGCAACGAAAACGAATTCGTTGTGGAGTGCACTATTAGTGGAAGTGTAGAAGAGAGACGCCATGAGCTGATGGGAGAAGGTTATAAGAGTCCATTGCCTTCTGGCACAGTGCGTCTATTCGAAGGACAAGAAGTAGAAATACGCATCTCAGGTAACGTGGCACCATTCGGCATGGAAAACAACAGAAAGCAACAGATCACCTTCCACAGTCAAAACTACAACCGCCTTCACATGCAGGTCATGGCTTTAAAGGATGTCCAGCAGAATAGTTTAGATGGTAAAGGGTATGTTGAATTCCATGCCCTACCACGCGTGGAAGTTGAAAAACACAAACTTGAAAGCGAAATAACAAGACTGAAAAGGTCAGCTCGTAGGGCAAGAGAGAAGGGAGAGCCGGAGCCAAAATTCCTTTGCAGGTTGTCAATTCATGTGCGATATGGGAGTGCAGAAGAGGTGAAATAACATTTTTTCTATTTGCTAGTTATGAACAAGGAACCTGTCTCCTTTCAGAGAACAAATATTATACACTGAATATTTGACAATGAAATACCAATACAAGGTAATTTCATTAAACTATTGATAATAATGGAATAAATTTCACATTGATACTAACGTGTTATTTTACAGACAATTTTGTAATAAATTTCTACACTTCTGTGATTTCTCATCTGGCATGATACAGACTGAACTGTAACATGTCATTCAATTCAGTGGAAACATCATATTAACAATACTTAAATCCGTGAATAATTTTATCCGTTTTAATCCGTTTTAATTAATACATTCATTTGCAGGCTTCTGGATTTGGAGTCCGCGCGGCTTTGCAAGGTAAAACAAATATGAATTTTACTGAGACAAAACATGTAACTTTTATGAATACACTTACGTTATGCATGGAGGTAGAAAAAAGTTTACCTCCATGCGTTATGCTTGTATGTGGGGTGGCCCTTTGCATTCTATGCACTGATGAAACCTAGCCTCTATAAGCCTTTACGCGGGTATGTGTATCTTGCGTCCATCCAAAAGTATACATTATCATGAAAGTTCATCTTTGTCGGAAGTTACATGTAGAAAGTTAAAACTTTGTTCCAACACAAGAGATATTGTTCTCAGCTAGAGTACTTTCGACCAGTCATTTTGGTCTTTTTCTATAGACTGACCCAGTGAGACTTGTCATGTGGCTTCTCTGATATGTGACGAGGGGGGGGGAGGCTATTTACAACAGGGCCCATTACCCATCACTGAACCGCGACAGGGGCCGACATCGTTTACCGGATACCTTTGACGCAGTATTGACGTCACTCTACAAAGAAGCCATGTGGCAGGTCTCATGGGGTCAGTCTACTGAAGAAGACCAAAAAAAAAAACTGATCAAAAGATCTAGGTGAGAACGATCCTTGCACACAGTGTACACATTCTTTCAGGTGTCGAGAAGTACTTCTATTTCATCAAGGAAAAAGTTAGCACAGACTGGAAAAACCTGGCCTTCCATCTCGGCTTGCCTGATCCTGACATCGGGAACATCGCCGGCAAAAACCCCGACGACAAGTCCCGCTGCATGGACATGCTGCAGGAATGGAAGAAGAAGAAGGGAGACGCCGCCACCATAGAGGTCCTGATGGAGGCTCTGTCAGAGGCAGGGCTGCAGAGCGTCGTGGATGGTTTGAAGAAGAGATTCCTAGACATCGGTTGGTTCTAACAAAAATCTCCCTTAATTATCCTATATATATATATATATATATATATATATATATATAT